TAATGTTAATAAATTATTAATACTCATATAATTATTATTATTATATATTAAAAATATCTCATACTAACAAATATTTATATAATATAATTTAAAAATCTAAGGAAATGTTGTCAACTCGAGTAAGTTAAAAATTAATTTCGAAAGCATTTGAAGTTTGAATTGAATCGTAAATTGTAAGATTTAATTAAATCGTAATATTTGAATCAATTAAACTCATGTGTTTTCAATTCAAAAACAATATTCAAAGATTTGATCGATTAAGCTCAACTCATTTCAATTCGTAGACAATATTCAAATATTTGAATCGGTTAAACTCAATAATTTACAATAGCATATTAATCAATCTGTGTATAGTTAAAGTTTAGTAACCTTTTTTTATTGAATTTTATTATAAAAAATAATAAAATTTAATTGGTAAAAATCGTAAGATTTAATCGGTTCATGGTTAGATTAAATCTTACGATTTACGATCTGATTCTTACGATTTTACGAATTAAATTATTATTTTGTTGTTAAAATTGAATTAAAAGGATAGTAGACTTTAATTATAAATAGTTAACTCGATTAATACGTTCTTGTCAATGGTTGAACTTAATCGATTCAAATTTTTGAATAATATTTACAAATTAAAAGGATTTGCGCTTAATTTATTCAAATCATACGCTTTAATTAATCTTATAATTTGATTCTTGCGTAATTTAGGAATTATTTTTTTATGATAAGATTGAATTAAAAATGTATTACACTTTAATTAATAATAGTTAATTTGATTAAGACGTGGCTTGTCAATAGTTGAGCGCGCTAATGAATCGATTCAAATATTTGAATAATGTTTACGAATTGAAAGGACTTGAGCTTAATTGGTTCAAATATTACGCTTTGATAAAATATTTTGATTTACGATTAGGTTCTTACATGTGTTAGAAATTAAATATATTATTTTTATGACAAAATTGAATTAAAAAGATATTACACATTACTTATAAATAGTTAAATCAATTTTGTAACATACATGTTATGTCAATAGTTAAGCAACTGATTCAAATATTTGAATAATGTTTACTAATTGCAAGGGTTTGTACTTCATCGATTCAAATCTTACTAGTTAATTAAATTCAATATTAAAAGAAAATTCACAATATAGTATTTGTAGTATATAATTTTATTTTAAAGTAAGAAAACTACTAATTGGAATGAGTTATAATTTTTTCTTCTTCTAAATAAACATATTATTTTATTTTTTATTTGGATTTGCCACACTATCGATTAAATAACATAAGCGAGTTTGAATTAAGTTATGCATTTTTTTTATTTAATTGAGCATTCTTTACATTTTTAAATTGAGGATTTTATTAATACTTCTAATATTTAATGATAGATGTTTGGCGTATTGAACTGCAATTCTTTATATTTTTCAAACTTTATTTTATTAAATTTGTTAATAATTTATTCAATTCGGGTTTTCGGGTTTCGGGTTTTCGAGTTTCGGGTTTCGGGTTTTACCATTTAATAATAATGAATGTTGCAATTAATATTTGCATTAACAGTATTTATACAATTATGGTTAAATATTTTATAATAAGTTAATGTGCTCGGATGGTTAGGAGTGATAAATGTATTAAAAGGTCACAAGTTCGATTTCTAATGAATACATTTTTTCGATTATTTATCAAATAAAACTCAGTCACAATGAATTTAAATTAATTATTTAATTAAAATATAGTAGGGTGTAAATTAGACAATTCCATGTTAATCAATTTTATATTAATTTAATAAAAAAATAATAGAAGGATAATTTGGTAAAGTACTTCATTTTTTAGAACATAAGCCATGTTATTTTTCTAGGGTCCAGATTTAATCTTAGAAAATTAATGGTGATTAATGCATATCTCAAAAAAGTTTAGAACATGGGGTATCTCACCCTAGACAAACCCACAAATTTAATCAAAGATCAAAACAAGTCCCTTTCACATTCCAAAGTCCTCAATTTTCAACAAAGCCTTAAAATAAATCTCAAATAAAAACATTAAAATAATAAACAATTTAAAGTGTCATAACAAGAAGTCTTTCCTAGTTAAGACAATTAATAATTCAAAAATATATATATATAATATAATATAATATAAAATCACATAAGAGAGCAGGCGTGGGGATTGTCATCGCTGAAGAGGGAGGCAACCGCCTCGTCGGAGGCCACCGCCACCGAGTACACCGCCGGAGTGTGAAAGAACGTGTGCACACCTGGCGCCGCCACGTTTCTGGAAGTTTCGTAGTAATGGCTGATGATGTGGGATGGGTACTTATAAAACGACGAGAAGTAATTGGAGTTGCCCGGATACGGCCACGGCTCCGCCGCCTTGCCGGCGCGTTTGATTGCCCTGACCACCTTCTTCTCCTCCAGTCCGTACCCCCTCGCCGTTATCTTCTGCAAATCCATGTCCACCTCCACCTCTTCCACCCCTGCCACCATTAATAATTATTTTCACACACACACAAAAACACACACTACGTACGGTGTATTTTTAATTAAGGATCGGATGTAATAATAATATATATATAATTAAAACCTTTGAGTTTGAACAGAGCTTTTCTAAGCTTAGAAGCACAGCCCTCACAATCCAAGTTAGGAACTCTCACTTCCACCATCTGCAAATATAAATATAATTTAAAACACACACTCTTCATAATCTAATTCACACACATTATTACACACACAAATTAAATGAAAAATAGAAAAATAGAAAAACTTACAGACATGTTGATGAATATATTAAATGAAAGAAATGCTGCAGAGAAGGAAGAAGCCTATGTTTAGGAGGAATGTGGGTGTTTAGGTGGTTCCCCAAAGGGTATAATGAAGGTTCTTAAATAAGGGAGCAGTGGCTGCATTGGGTTTTGAAACCAAAGAAAGCAGACAAGAGTGTCACGCGTGAATTCGGACACCGTGATTACATTTATCCCTACACACACACACACACCACTCCCCCGGCCCCCATGAATAATTATTACTATTTTTCTGCACTGTTTTTTACACAGAAGGAAGAAAGAAAGAAAGAAGGAAAACTGCAAAAGATATCATCAGGCTTTTTCTGCTGCAGCTAGAGCTATATTATTCGCTTAATTATTTATAGCTACAATAAAATAGAAGAGTACGTACAAAGATCTTACATAAGCTGACAACTGTTGCATTCATTCATTCATCAAAGTAAATTGAATTAATCGAAGAATATAATTATTGGGGTTTAGCTGGAGACCTGGGAGACTGTGCCACCTGTCCTTTCTTCTTTGACGAGACAACTGTTTTCCAGTTCTCGTGTGTTCATCATCATTAACTATGTTTGTTTATTTATCTTCACTAGTTTATTATCATATTTATTTTTGAACCTTAATGAAGTCGATGATCTGAAGCAAAGTGGTTTTTTAAATTATTTTTACTCGATCTAAATGTGTATAAGCTAATTTCTATATCTGCAGCGGAGATTAATTAGGGTTTGTTGTAATTAATAATAAAGTATGGGTTTGTTTGGGAGCATAATCATCAAAGACATAGTCATCACAATAGTTGTATCACTAACGCCCACTTAGCTTCCTCAATTGTTTTAATTTCCCATGATTTTTTGAATTTTGAATACAGCTCAACCATTTTGTATGTAAAAAAAAATACAAGTTCTTTGAAATTGTAATTTCAACCCTGATTTTTGAGAAAATTGTATTTGTATCACCGTTATTAGAGGGGCAAAATTCCGACAGCTCAAAACAATGGACAAAGAACGAAAATAAAATAAACAAGAGAAAGGGACCGGAAGGAAATAAAAGAACTTTAACAGGGCCAGTCAGAAAAAGAACAGAATCTACTGAAAGTCTGATAAAATTCCTTTCCTCCCCCTTTCAATTTGTAATCTTTTTTTTTTTATTAAACAGTACTTTGAAGAAAACGCAATTTTAAATTGGAGAAAATCATTTTCCCAAAGGAAACGCAATTCTTAACAACACCGTTACACCTCAAAAGAAATTAAAAGTTTTGATATATCGAAATGGAAAGTCAAACTTTATTAATTTACAACACTGTGTAACATTTATTATTTTGTATTTCAAAATTTAACTTCCTCCGGTGCTCGTTCCGTCAGCGGCCCGATTCCTCGCCGTGCCCACTGTTGTGGTTGTGGCCCAAATGTGTCTTGGGCCTATAGCCCAATTTCCACATTACACACACACTTGTCTATTTGGAAAGGCCCAACCAGAATAAGTCCAGCCCATTAGTGGGAATGTGCTAGAAGGCTTGAATCTGAACCGTTGGTTCTGGTGTGATCTCAGCCGTTCATTATAGCTGACCTTTCCTCTCCCTTGTACCTCCTTTCCCGTTTTGTGCCCTAGACAATCTCTGTTCTCTCCTTTGGTCCCCCTCTGCTTCTTTCTTCTTTTGCTCCAGCAACCATGGGCCATTCGCCGCCGTCCTTGGCCGTGCTTGTCCCAGTGGTTGTCTCTTCAACGGCTCCTTTTGACTGGAGTCCCTATTTAATGCGGAGAGATGTGTGGCAGAGGGTAAGACCTAGATTGAAACCCTAAATTCAAACACCTTACCTTATTCTTCTGTGAGCTGGGTCTGTGGTGAGTGGGTAAGAAGCTGAGTGCATCTTCTTCGTGGTCTTACTGATAATCTGGGTGGTTTCGGGGGTTTGAGTGCAGAGAGAGGATTGGTTCTGAGTGTGGTGCAATCCTAGACTGTGTGTGTGTGTGTAACAGTGGATACCTTTGTGGATCTGTGTGTGTGAATCGGTTTGGAAGACTGAGCTGTCTTCAATTTCATACTTCTGTTTTTCCCATACATTCATATTTATTTATCTTATAATGTTATTTTACTAACATCTATTTTGAGTTCTTATTTGTAAGCTTTCTTCGAGTAGAAACCCTACACTAATAATAGAAAACATAGGACAGAGCAAAAATAAGAGGAAATAAAATGACAATAATATTGCCTGACCCTTTGAGAGCAGGCGACGAAAAAGACTGGTCTAATTGATGGGGCGGTTTCTGGTAGAAATACGGAAACCAAGGCACCGTTTGATCAGGTGGCGGCGGCGCCGCTCCAAAAGAGTAAGGCGGCGGTGGAGGTGTGAGCGGGATGAATACTGAAGGAGGTGTAGTGAAAACTGCAGGAGGGGTGGTGGAAACTGGCGGCGTTGTTGTCACCGGAGGGTTGTTCCCGCCGGGGCCGGTCGGCGGGGGATAACAGGGATAAGGGCACTCCTGCGGCGTCGTTTTGGCCGGAAAATCAAGAACGGTGAATACAAAAATAAGTGAAGAGAGTAGGTTGTGAAGCTTTGAGGCCATAGTTAATTATAGATGTGTGCTGTTTATGAGTAGGAAGAAAAGGGAAAGGTGATATATGAAATGTGAGGGAGTGTTAAGTGTGAACACTAAATAAAAATGATTTTTTTTTTTTTTTTGTGGGGGGTGGGGTTATACTAGGTAGGATAGTTTATTGGACATTAATTTTTTCTTTACTAAGAATTATTGGACTTTAATTGGCTTTAATCTTACTTTGAACCCTTGAAATGTAGGACTTTAACACTTTGCATCCTTAAAAAATATTATTAACACTTTACACCATCAAACTATAATAAAACCACTCACAATGCACCAGGAATTAAACATTTAAAACTTAATAAGGTAAAACTTATTTTTTTCTTGGTTTTTATATTTGTGTACGGTGCAAAATAACAAAGTAAATGTTTGTTTTCTTCTATCTGCAAGCTAATAATTTTGAGTGTGAAAAGTGCGAAAATAAAATAAAAATCACACTGAATAACGAAAAAATTATATTTTCTTACCAAATAAAATGCTGTCACTAAATTATACGATTAATGGATCTTTTATTGTAATTGGTGAAAGTATTTGATAGAAATCATGGAAGAAAATATAATTTTAAAATAGTTACTAACAAAATAGCTGAAGGTTTTTTTTATAAAATATATGTTTGTAAAAATAATTATTTTATTTAAATATGTTGATGAAATGTATTTTTTTTATTTTTGTACTCTATAGTGAAATGATAAATGAATATAAAAATTTCGATTTGACATTAGGCATGTGAAGAAACACACTAAAAATATTAAATTACCTTCATTTGCTTTAAAAATTCATACGGGAAGCATTATGCATTATTTATTATATTTTGAGGGTGGAAATTGCTATTAATTTTTTTCGAGGATGCAAAGTCCCAATTTGCTATATTACAAGGGTGCAAAGTGGGATTAAGCCACTTGATTTTTTATTTTATTTTTCATAGTTTTTTGAATTGAAAATATAAGAGAGGAGAGAGTGATTTGAAATGATCCGAAAAGAGGCAAAAAGTGAGTAGGGTAAGAAGGAAAGCAATAAGGTTTTAGGTCACTTAAAATTGTCTGGTTGGTAATATTATAATGGTGACAAAACTATTGTGTCATGAATGTTTATCGGTTACCTAAAATTGATTCCATATATACACATAATTCAGGGAATTCTGGATGTGAGAGTTTTCTGCAAAGGAACACAATAATTTAATTGTGGACAAACATTATTCATATAGAAGAAGTATAATTAAAAAAAAAATAGAAGATGATATTATGCAAATCCTATTGCTAATTATTTTGGGTAAATTGGTTTTAAAGTTGAGTCATTAACAAGTTTAACTAATGATTGATGTGTGGTTTATTATATTATAGAAACCAAAATTTTGAATTAATTAATTCTATACAATGAGTAGGTGTGAATAGTGTATTTACATGCTCAAAATTATGGTGTAAATGAGACGAGCCGGCTCGCGATCTTCAGGAGGAGCGTGCAACGGCTGATCATAATTGCATAATCTCAAGAAAAAATGTTCACAATCTCCATATAGGGTTCCAATAAAATCCTAAATAAAAATTTAGCTACTCATGTTTTCTACGAAAAAACGTCATAAAGTTATTAAGAATATAAATCTAAAAGAAGAGAAGAAGAATAAAAACGATGTTGGAGATTTGTCAAACCCCCGCCTTGTTCGTAGCCGTCTTCTTGTTCTTCTCTGCAAAATTTCTCCCAAAAAACTCCCCCTCCTATCTTCGAAACCCCCTTTTTATACCTAAACTCATGGCCCAAGTTTCCAAAATTTAGCAAAATTCCGCATATAACATTTCTCAGACCACAGTACGAGAATTTGTACTAAAATTGAGACCGCGGTCTGAGAATCCAATTTTTTACTAGTTTAGCTTCTCATACCGCGGTATGAGAAATTGTACTATATATTGATACCGCGGTATGAGGCAGGAGAAGGTCATCTTTCTTTTCTTCTCTTCTCGAACTGGGGTATATATAAGATTCCTTCACAATTTTGAGACTGGGGTCTCATGCATAATGCAGTGTTGATTTTTCGTCTGATCTCTCAACTCGTTCTGTCATTTCGTTTCTTTGCCTTCTAAATCCGAATTCTTCTCTTTTTCGTACATAATCAATTTGAACAACATGTCAACACATTTATCATATCAAATCAGACAAAAATTAAACCAAAAGTACGCAGTAGTGAGTGCGTTTTACGCAATTAACAACGAGATTCTAGGACATTTAATTATAATGCCATTTTTGTTTAAACATTATTTTTTAATTATAGAAACTTGTACATGATCTTGTTCAATGTTCATAGTAGTCGATTGTAAGTTGCTCAATCGAAAATTGTAG